TGCATTTCGACACATCGTGGCGCAATCAACATGTTGTTTTTTTCACTTTCGCCAAGTTTTAGTAGTAATATTTTTTGTTCACTTAGTATACTTTTAAAGGAATCGAAGGTCTAAACTGGCAATCGACCGCGTCGTTAATAACGTAACACTTGAATCACCCGATGTTGAAATGAAGGCAACATTTTTCTCATTTCTTTGACACTATATGCTTTGATTTTAATATACAGTTATCAGATCTTATAGAGACATATACCACCACTTTAAACCATTGACGCAGTAACTTTTTATTGAAACTACTTTCATAATTGATTCATGGATACTTTGGCATTAAACTCAATTTTTACTCATATCCTTCCCAAGTGACATTTTATTGGCAGGTGAACCAATGTAATTCTAGGTAAACATGTTCTGATGACATCTTTGCAAAAGGTCTCACTTGCATATGATATTTTATTTGAAAATGATTACTACGCAAGAAATATGCAATTATATTTGTTCAATATACTGATCGTATAATATATGATTAGGCTAGATGTGTGCGTGATATATGTATTAAACAAATATTTATATTTCGCACAGACTATTGCAAAGTTTCAACATTGCCGAGCATTTACATTATTTAGTAAACAATAGTATTGATTGTTTAATGCATTGGTCACAGATTTCGCTTAATGAGAATAGGCTCATTACAAATTCATTTAACCGAGTTACTTTTATTTGATATGTTGAACTCTCTCAACTAAACAAGCGCGATAATTGAACAACTATATTGCACATAATATGGGATATGATGTGGTAATTTTCACTTCTCTCTATTTAATTATTAAAATCATGGCCCATTTTATATATCTTTCTATTTTATATATCTTTATTACGCTTTGTTTACTTGTAACATAAATTTAATTTCCTCTTTTCTAAACTACCATAATTCATTAACGAAGTAATTATAAAAAAGTTAAGATTATACTATATCTTCAATTTGTATATTTTTCTTAACACCCTAGTTTGATAAAAAAATGCACGAGTGAAAGAGAGAGTCAATTATCAATTTCTTATTGACTCGTTTGTTTAACCGCTCAATAAATCATTTTATATTCAGTACAATCTTTAAAATAGCCTACTTATAATTTTATTTATAGGCGTCCATAACTTACGCAAGCAGTTTTTGCCGCTATTACCTGTGTTCTTCTTAAATGGTCAGCTTGTAATTTTAAAGATTAAACTGCGTCTTATCTCTTATTTCTAAGAGTAGTCTAATACGTAAACGCTTTTTCGACGCATAATTTAATAATTGAAATAAATGCAAAAATTCGCAATTTCCCAAAGATTGATAAATGTTCATAAAATTAACCATGCGTAAAATATACTTGTTCATTAACCGTAACACAGTTACACGTGCAGTGAAAAAAAAAAGTAAATCGAATATAAGCAAAAGTAAAAATTTATGAATCTACTATCGCCGTTAGACACGCGAGGCGTGTCCAAAATATTCACCTTCGAAGAAAAATCAAACTAAGTTCTCAAAAAAAGTTGTCAAAATAATTAAAATTCCCTTTTATTCTTTCCAGAGTACAAATTACATTAATGTTCGATGGACATTGTCATGGAGTGGGAAGGATGTAACTAGAAAACGGCTTGATAAACACCTTGAGTGAGAACATCTATCCATATATTCATGAGAGCCGCGTCTGGCCGACTCCAAAGCCTTTCCCATTATTGCGTAAGGTTACGCTTGTGGTCGGTGAAGCAGAAATGCAGACTACGCGAAAATCCCACTACCGACGATGTCCGCCCGCACTGTCGTCTCGTAACGCGCGAGAATCCACTGCACTTAGGGCGCATTTATACGCCACCGTCGCCACCCTCTTCTTTCTGCGGTCTAAAGTTCAAGTGACTCGAACTTCGAGAAAAAAAATTCTGAGGAGATAAGGGTCGCCAATTGAAAGTTCGCATCAGAATTCTCAGAGATGGCTTTCCGCAAAATCAATTAACGTTTACGCGGACGAGACTACTGCTTGAAAAAATATCGCTGGTTAAATTAATGACGTCGACTATGCGATTCTAATGAACTTTGGCAGAGGACCTTTCTACACATGCAGACATTTACGTTGACATTAGACACAGGTGCTCACGTATAGGGAATTAATCTACATACGAGCACAGATGAGGTCGGTTTGCTCGTCACAGATGAGATCAAGAGCGATTTTCGTAATTTTGTGAAAAAGTTTTCTAAACAAGATTTGTGGAGAGGAAGTGCGATTTGTCAAAATTTACATAATTGCGGCCTCATAAATATCGGGAGATTGGTAGAAAGTGTACGATCATGCACCGGGATCGCCAACTTCGATATGAGCACGTATCGTTTGCATTATATCCGGCAAATATAATCGGTCAGCTTACTTCACCAAGTTCCGTATACGTAATGATATTACAATCGTCCGAACGAAAAAAAAACCGACTGAAGTTTTCACCGCGATAGATTTAATCTGATATGATTCCTACAGCGAGCTCAACAGTTTCCTGACGTTATTCTTGCTGCAGGAAGACTTTCGAGCAAATAACTTCGCAATTAAAATCGCGCTGCTCGTATATGTAATTCAGAACGTAATAACATTTTACGCAAAGCCACTTATGACACAATAAATGCACAGAGAAGTTTAACCTGAGAAAGAATTAACTATAGCGTTACGTGGAGATTCTGTATATCGCGACGAACAAAAACGTCCGTGAACTGTCGTAAAGTTGAACCTTTCGTAATAAGATTATTTTAATCAAATGTTGTTTACTATTAATGTGTCAAATCCATATATTAATCCTATCCAAACATTTTATTACTGATTTAATATTATATACGCGCGCATAATGACATTAGTGCGTAAAATTAATTTATTAATATGACATAACATAAATAAATAATGTTAATTTATATTATGCATATATTATGCAAACATGTAATATATTGAAATAAGTTTAAAGCGCAGCAATCGGTAACTTTCAATCAATTTGTACATCTGTTCGATAAAAACATATACAGTGATAGCCGGTTTAGAGTAGAAATGACCGCAGAAAATTAGCCATCTCGGCACCAGCGCGTGTCATTAGTTTTGAATTCAATGAATTAAACTTGCGGTTTCAGAAATTAATAGCTAGTCGTCATGCACGCTCGCGCAATTGTCGATTAGCCAGAAGCGATGTTTCAGATAATTAACTGCTTACATTCTATAGCATAATTTTTTTCGTTATCACTCGACGTAGCAATAAATACCTTCCAAGAGAATCTTTCAAATACGAAAAATTCGTGGTAATGTGCTAATTAATTTTCAATAAGTTTGCTACTGAGAGAGTCTCATAGGAGAAAACTGTTGAAAGGGATAAAACCGAAGTTTCCGATGCGCCCAAAATCGTCGATTGACGGATTTCATAATCGTGTCGAAAAACAGCGTGAGCAGATTGTGGTCTCTAGTGAATCACTATAAATTCATCGAAGCGATTTAATCCTCGGGTATAGGTCAAGTGGAAACTATCGCATACATCCCACCCTCAATTTTCGCTGCAGTTCGATCGACGGTCAATCAAGAGGGAGGGAATCCTCAGCCTCTCGAAACATTCCCTATCCCGCCAGAAGTCAAATCAATATTTTCGGATTCAAATATGGAAATCCAAATTCAAATGTATGGAAATTTATTCGTATCGATAACCCTGATAAACCATGGATACGCGAGTATTCTAATACCCGTCGAACCGAGATCGAGATACAAAGTCATTCCGAGATTAACTGTGCCCGCGGGAACTACGTGTGATAAACCAAAAATCGTGCTGCCATCACCAAGCAAAACCGAGTTTCGTAGCGAAAATCATTTCCGGTACGCAAGAATTTTATCCGACTGCGTTAACGAGTTCCAACAACTTCTTATTAAGGCGGTATAGCGGCCAACATCTTCGAATCATTCTCTCTAATTTCACGGCTGGTGACGACGACTATCTTCTTCTCAGCGACAAATGTCGTGGCACAAGAAACTGTAGAAAAGAGATAATACATTGAACATAACATGCTATGACTATGGAAATGAGGCGAGTATATTAAGTTTGAACAAGTTGAGACTGAATGTAAATGTTTCAATGCGTTCATATATCCGTAAAAAGAAAAAAAATAAGTTAAGAAAAACACTTTCGTTGTCAAAAAATTTCAATTCTCTCTTCTCGGATTAATTAAGCTTTTAATATTTATGAATTATGCGCTTCTCGAAAGCGCAAAAAATATCGATCAAATTACATTAATAAAAAATTTATGTGTAATATTTAATGTTTACTTATTTATTTTAATGTATCAATCCGATTTTTAATTAAGATTTTTATAACGCGTAATCATGAAGCATTTTATTTTTATATTAACAAGTAAAAATAGATACTGATTGAAATATGAAAAATTATGCAAAAGTTCTTTTTCTTAAAGGAATATAAGAAATAATTTTTACATATCAACTATTTTACACATCATATATATTTTTTATAAAATGTTAAAATATCCTAAGATAATATATCATTAATAGACTATAATAAATTTTATTTCATATAATTAATGTTTCGTAGTAGTTTAGGTAGATAAAGTAATCGTTAAAATAAAAATAACTGAGATAATGATTAAGAGAATTTGTCATCAATGAATGAATTATTTCTACTCATATGTCTTACCATCACTGAGAAAAGTTTACGCAAGAAGTTCACGCAAGCGTATCAAGTACGGATCTTTTTCGATTTTTGTTACAGAAACGCGTCTACTTCGAATTAAACGGACTCGAAAACGCGACGAGACAGTTAAGAAAAAAAGCAATGAGAAAATAGACGCAAAGACAAAAGGAGACGAAGAAAGGGAGACGTCGTCCACAGTGCGTTGTCTTCCTTTCCTCCTGTTAACTTCCTACCCGCCGACAATTTCATCGGCACGCTCGAGTTGTCCAGCGGACACGCCGTTGCGTCCCCTATAAAAGCGAGGGTAGACCATGGCAGAATCAGTGTGCTCACTGCCGACCAACATGAACAGCACCAAGCTGAAAGTGAGTAGCTCCAACAAGATAGCCGCTCGAATCGCTTGTAGAAACCCGATCCGTACTTAGCAGTCTGTAACGTGTTGTAGGCGCATTCTCTCAAGCGACCTATTTCTTAATAAATATGAATAAGCTTAAAAGCAAATTTTGACTTGCGAATTTGTCGTATACCAAACTCGAAATTATTAAAATTTTCATTTCCTTGGATTTTTCGTTCTTTTCAAAACCATTGATAAAACATAAATTATATTTCTAAAAATTTTAGTGAAATTATACAATATATTATATATACTTCGAATTTATCTAATAACAATCTCGTTTTATTTAAAATTTTTCAATATCTTAATTAAAAAATTTTTTTTAAAATATTTTTCCAAATCAATTAATCCCACAAAAAATTATCAAAACAAATTATAATAAAAGAGAGAGAGAGACAGAGAGAAGCTCTATATATACCCACATCACATATACTCATAAATCTTACAGTAATATTTATCAAACAATTTATAAAATCAACAATACTCATCCGTTTCCTTGCTTTCGACAGGTAATACTCCTATGTGGCCTAGTATTATCGGTCGTAGCCGAAGAGGCGAAGAAGACCGAATCTAGCGCTAAGCCAAAGGATGAAAAATCGAAGCGTGGACTGGAACTAAGTCTAGGTGATCACGGTGGTTTTGGGGGCGGTTTCGGCGGCCATGATTTAGGCGGTGGATTCGGAGGCAGTGGACTCGGAGGCGGAGGTGGATTTGGTGGTGGCGAAATAATCTCTACTGATCACATCAAGGCGGTTACGGTCACGAAGCACGTGCCAGTACCGCATCCGTATCCGGTGGAGGTCACGAAGCATGTGCCCTATCCGGTAAAGGTGCCAGTCAAAGTACCTGTCGACCGTCCGTATCCGGTCCATATACCGAAACCTTACCCAGTGGAGGTCACGAAGCACGTACCCTATCCAGTGGAGAAGCCAGTGCCCTTCCCGGTCAAGGTACCCATAAAGGTGCCCATCAAGGTACCCTATCCGGTCAAGGTACCAGTCAAGGTTCCGATCGAAGTGTCGAAACCAGTGCCCTACCCGGTCAAGGTACCCGTAGTCGTCAAAGAGCCTTATCCCGTAGTCGTTAAGAGTCATCACGACGAGGGTGGTTTCGGCGGCGGTGATATCGGTGGATTTGGTGGCGGCCACGATTTTGGCGGTCACGACTTTGGCGGCGGTGATTTCGGCGGACATTATTGAAAAAATGAGCGTATAAGAAGAAACGAAGACTTCATCGTCTTCCCCTTTTTTGTTTGACGGCTCGCGGCCCAAGAGACCAAGAGATATTCGAAGGATCGATCGTCGAAGGATCGAGAAACGATCGGCAAAAGTTGCCACATCGTTAATTAATAGAAGTCGATATGATGCGTAAATATTGTATTCTTCGTGATCCAATCCTCGAATTGTACTATACACCCTGTAAATGTAAAAAATAAATAAAGTATTTTTTTTTACATAACGACTGCTTGCGAAACATTCAAACGTTGGGAGGGTGGGGAAGGAATCGATAGAGAAACGTATTAGCCGGACACGTTATGCGATTATGAGGAATTGCGAGGAAACTTTCACTCTTTAATATTACGTGAGTTGCGCCAAGAAAGGTACACCTGTTTCACCACAAGCGGCACATATACCGCAAGAAAAAGCGTCACTCATATAGGAATCGTTAAAGTAAACGAATGGCTGCGTCGGCGGAAGGGGAAAGGCGTAAAACGTAAATGTCAATGTGTGAAAATTGCAATAAATATCCGCGAATATCCTCTCGCCTCTCTCCCTAAGAGATTAATCTTGTAGACTTTCAACACACGCATTACGCGCTATCGTGCGCGACGTATGCACATTGCGCCACAAGGAATCAGCCCGACACGACTAATGTAAGTTGTTAAGCCGCCAATTGCGTCGTTCGATTTTTCAGGGCTGCATCGATCATTCGACGATCATTCCTGGCACGCAGTGAAAAGTGTATAAAAAAATCGGAAAGGGCATATTGCCAAACAGTTGCGCGATTTTGAAACGCTATTTACGCACAAACGCGTTTACGACATCTGTCCGATCTGTTATCAAAATTTATGGATCTATCAATGTTTTAGTTGCTTTTTTTTACATGCGAATACTCCAATTATGCATAACGTGTTCTGAAATACATGATTTTTTTAAATTCCGTTACACGCACACATATATTTCTCATGTAAACTGATGTGAAAGTAGTTAAATAAATGTCTTTAATATACGCAGAAGCAGTCTATCAATTGTAAAATATTATATAAGCCTATCACTTAATTTCATTTAATATTTTATTGATTGATCGTAAATATGTTCGTATCTTCGAGATATTTGAAAAATGAGCATAAATTAATAAACGACAGTAAATTAACTTCTTAGTTGTTTTTCTCTGATTTAATGCTCTGATTGTTAATTTAATTAGCCAATGCAAGATATAACAAGATCTAATCCGAACGTAAATCGACATTATTGGAATTAATAGACACTTCGTCACATTCTTTTCCGTGAAAATACTCTAGGCGAATAATATTCATCATTTTTAAACTTTTCTTATGTCATGCACACAGAAAAATATACATACAATACAAATAATAATTATTTTTGTTTCAGGCTCATTTCAAAAGCTCATGTACCCGCAAATTTATATCATAAGTTATTACAAACATTTTTTCAGAACCTATTTTGAAAATATATTCCTAAGTAAAAATTTAATACTTCAATCAACAGCATTAAATTAAAATAAATTTATATATTATATAAAATCATTTCCAATCAGTTTTATAAATGTTCTTCAAAAAGAAATTATTTCTTGTGTTAAATATTAATGAGTTTCTAAAATATATGATAAGCAAGACTCTCGATAAAATAACCGTTACTTATTTAACATAGAAAATATAAAATATGTTTCGAAAACTTATTTAAAATATTAAACAAGAAATAGAAATCAGAAGTTATTTACAATAATTAAGACTAAATAATTATTTTATTTCTTCTATTTTAAATACGAGCGAGCTCTAATAATAAGTATATATTTTAAAATTATTATCAAGAAGATATTCTTTGTTAAAGAATGAAAGAAAATCATTTTATAAACTGTTGCTTAAAAAAAAGAAAGTAAATCGAGTAATTTTTTTTCTTAACAATAGAATAATATTTTTCTGTGTGTTCATCTCATGTATGCAGGGTGTTTCTAAAATAACATCCATTAATTTCACAATAATTTACGAGATATTAATTTCTAAATATTGCCGAATAAACAGATAAAATCAATGTATAAGACAATTTTAAGATATCCTTCAATGTTCTTGTGAGATTATTTTGAAGATATTTCTTAAAAATACCTTAAAGTTGTTTTATACGTCGATTTTAGACATTTTGCTCATTAGGTAATTGAAAAAAGATATTGCGAAAACTGTAAAATGGTAGAGGACTTTTCATTAGTTTTTTATTAGAAATAACACTTAATAATTGGGCGTTATTTCAGAAACATCTTATATAGCTAGGATAATTCTGTGGTAATCAGTCAGGACGCAGACCTAATTGCCTCCCACGGTTATAGACCTATACCTCAACTGTACAAGTTTCTTCACATACGTGCATCTTATGTACCATTATGTACAATCCATCCTACGCGCGGCAGCGTGATTCGTCCCAACGATAATATGTCTCATTAACACGTGGATAAACCGAGCCGACTCGAGAGGTATTGAACGTCATCGTCGTCATTGCGACTCGTTCTCGCGGCACTCTTCCTTTTCCCCAGCGTTACTTATCTTACTTTCGTTCCGATATCGTATGATTGGATAGCAGCATCCTTTCACCACACCCTGGATTCGTTTCCGCATGCTGGATCCGCTTCCGCCGCGCATACTAGACTAGAAACTGAAAGCGACTAGCGCGAGCCACACGAGTAATCTTAAAATCCAAGGAAGTTAACTTCTGAGACAAGAGAGACTGTCACGCTTGCTTGTTACGTATACTTCGAGAAATCACTCAAAGTAATTTGATGAAATTATGGGGAAGATGATGACATGGCTTTGTTTAGATGCCGCAACGAGCAGTATTTTCATTGCAAGCGAATTATACCTTATTAATATTGTTACGGTCGCAAAAATTGATTAGTCATAGAACGGCAATGCGTTCAATATCGTCTATGTAATCGATTGGACAAACGTGAAGATTGACAAACATCGTTCAACAGACATCGAGTGAAGTCTTGACTAAATTTATCTTCTTGCGAGTGTGCAAAAGTGTTACACACTCAAGACGCGATCGGTCGATGAGCAAATCAAAGTTATCTAACACGTGCGTGCCAGATAATCATAGTTAATAGCCTAGGAAGTTCGCGCGTAAAAGGAAAGAGAGATTTCTTCGATTAGTCGCATGTGCATACAGGAATAAACTGGGATGTATACGTTACGTTTATAAACATTCGACGCAGAATTATATAATAAGTATCTCTAATAAATGCACGCAGTGACTATGCTATTCCGTTTAATCGTTTAACCGTGACGTAATCTTCTTTAATAAACGGCGGGCCATTCAAGAAAAGCGCGTGATTGCTGTTTCTCAGAGAGATTGTAAAAGCTGTAATAGTAATCCTAAAATCTAGAATTTTCTAGAATTAATGTATACAGTTAAAAAAGTATACCATTATCAAACTATTATCTTTTATCTTCCAAATGAAAAATGCTTGAAAAGGATTTTTTATTAATTTGCCTAACATTATTAGCCATTCCTCAATTACATTTCATTTCAAGTGCGATGATATTCAAATAAAGTCATATTGCATGCGCCTTGACATCTCAATTGCACAACAAACAACACGTTACGTTTGAGAAATTGTGATTTAACGCCAGCATTATTCTCGATTACGAACATTTGCTTCAGAACTCGGAAAAGACTCCAGAATGGAAAGTAACAAGGATGTTGATGTCGATGATATTAATTCACAATTGTCGAAGATAACATTACGTCAAGTAGTTTCCCATAGCGTTCGGGCGTAACCCGAGGCACAATGTATATTTATGATGTAAATGTGGTGCGGAAATGTGATTTTACGTCGTGATTTTATGGGAGCGCGCGACCCCCGACCGTTCCTTTTTACCGATGTTCGTTACGTCGCGACCGTGCCGCTAATAAGATTCCAGACAGCGATCTTATCGCGCTCAATTAGAGAAATCTCGTGGGCGGAGAGGCGACGCGGCTGAGTGAGACAGAAAACGATGGTGCGCTCTATGCACTTTCGCGATATTTCCTTATTTTTTCGCGAAAAATGCATCGCCTAAAGCTGATATTATTGTATATGATTGCAAATTGACAACATAAGTATTAGTATGAGTGTAAGTTTAATGTTAAATGACTTCATAAAAATAATGCGTTATCGTTTCTTTTTGTAACTCATTATTATATTTGATCATTATTATATTTTATTATATTTGTATTCGTTATTATATACTACAGATTTTCAGTATTGGCAGTGACTATCGCAATGCAGCCTATATAAGATATAAAACATTTTTCTATATTTAAATTTCTATTATAAAATACTGCTAGATAATTAAAAATAATATGATTTATTAATCCCATACAGCACTCTTTATCCCAGAGATATTCCTGCGAACGTTCTCAGAACGTTGAGACATTCTCAGGACATGTTCTTCAAAATGTCCCTTAAAAATCTATGCTATACAAGAAATAGTTATAAAAATAATATGAAATAGTTATAAAAATTAAAATAACGGCTAAATTCATTACTGTTATTGTAAAAATGTAATGATATTACCGTCAGATACAGAAAAAATGAATAATCGTAATTGGAAAAACAAAAACAGCAACGGCATTACAATGTGTTACTTCAGTCTTGAAAAAAAAATAGCCTGATATATAAATTTCAAATTTTAACATTAATTTACTGCTAATGAGAACATACTAATTTGGAATATATTTAAAATATAAAAAAAAAAATAT